GTGTTCGCAAACGGTTCGCTGCGGACTCCAGACAGCAGACACATTCCAGCCAATCAGCAGCAGACCCTCCCTCCCAGACCCTGTGCATAAGAGCTGTTTTGGGAAGCTCCCACCCTACCTGAGTAGAATGCTCTCCGCAGCTGTTCCGACCTCCTATAACCTCCGATCCGGTACTAGCACAATACATATCATATTGCAATAAAAAAAATGAAGTGGCTCGATCCTCATTTTCCTACAGAGCATCTCAATTATGGAATAACATCAGGAACACAGTCAAATCTTCATTCAATCTAAAATCTTTTAAGAGATCTATAGCAATATACCTCAGCACAGAATGCACCTGTCTGTCATGGTTGAATATATTTATTACCTGTTACGTATTAAATTTATATATGTGTATATGTATATATACATATATTGTTTGTATATTGTATTTTTTTGTAATATCGTATCCTATTGTAACAATGCAATGTTTTGTGGACCCAGGACATACTTTAAAACCATCCTGGTAAAATATTTTATAAATAAATAAATTCATCAGAGTGTCACTATTAACATACATTGCCCCATGACATGGTCTTCATCATATAGATTTTGATTACTGAGCATGGTGGGAGTCTGTACAGCAATAGCAGTCCATTCGCTAGTTTTAATTACAATGAGCAACTGCTGAGCTCACTGTTTATTAGACATGCTTTCTCTTTTTAGTACACATGCACTCACTATTTACTAGGTATGCACCCACAGTTTAGTAGGCATGCCCCTACTGTTTCATACATATGCTTTCACTGTTTGGAAGATATGTACTCCCAGTATAAGGGACATGTCCACACTGTTTATTTGACAGGTCCCACTGTTTAGTGGAGTTTTCATGTGTTTATGGAAATCCATTATAAATAGCTACTTGCTGTCAAATTTGATAAGCAAATTTCAGGTTTGTTAAATGCTTGATAAATTATATTGAATCACCAAATTCTATATTTTCCATGGAAAATGGTTTTGAATTTTTCAAAATTACCCAAAAGTAGAAGGTCTTACGAAATTAAATTTTTCATCTCCCAATAAGCCTAAAATTGCTTATATTAAAACAATCCGAACCTTTAAAAGCTGTTGTTATCACTTTTCAGCTGATATTAAATAAATCCCAATATGTCATTTTAAAGTTTTGGAATAAATTAGAAATAATTTAAAATGTACACACCAACGAAATGATGGATTTTAATATTGTGCTCCAGATACTAAAGAAAAATATTATCTGCCACCGTGTGTAATGATCTTTATATAATTTTCTTTATAAAAAATAAATAGCTATAAAAGCTTCAGGTGATTCAGAACACTATCTAAGTCCTCCTTGTATAAATTATCATTTGCGTTTTAGATTGAGGGAATTCATAATGAATCCTGTTGCTCTTTGACAGGGTTTTCTGTATGCAGTCGTGTCTTTTGTTTTGGTACAATATACATTTAATGTCTTGTGTATAAAGGGTTGGGATTTCATAGAGTACTTGTAAAGTCAATATTGAGAGATAAACTTGGTTTTCTAAAAAGTGATTTCATTCATATTGGCAACTGTAAGCCTTTATTAGATATTCATAAAAGGCAAACTGATTTTACTGTGGCTAATAAAAGGTATAATTTATTTTTAATTTAAATGTGTGAGGGATTTCTATCACCCAAACTGGTATACACTGGTGTATGCGTCCCAGCCTGCTTTAATTTTACATTTTAGAACTTCAACCCTATGACATTGTTTTTTTTAAATTGTAATACCACAAATGGTCACTGTGTCAACTTGAACAAATTATTGTATGATTAATATCCTCCTATGTGCTTTCTAAAGTACCTATATGTGAGCACTGGAGATTTAGATTTAATGAGCTATGAATAAATAGCAGTTGTTTTCCACATTTTGAAATATTACAACTTAATTGAAAAAGGGTTTTATAGGGCCATTATTATTTCTTTTGCACACCATATCAAACAGTCCAATATACATTATTGTGATACACAAGTTAAGACAAAGAAAATACTTTTTTCAAGCATAAATATTAACCACTGCAATTACATGTATTGATGTTTTGGGGCTGGTCTCTACAAGCCTTGCATATCTGGATTAAGCTTTGCTATTAGTAAACAGGAATTGTCAAATCTTTCTAAAGATTATTGGAACTGGATTGAGGTTTGAGTTTTGGTTTTGCCATTCTTTGATATTCTTGTTTTAGGTTTTAAATACATTTGTAACATTATGTGCTTAGGGTCATTACCCAGCTTGAAGAGGAACCTCTACCCACTGGATTGTTGGTTGCTTCTTTTATTGAAGCAACACTGACACAGTCTTGGTACTTTGTATGGCTTGCAAAGACAACAGATGGTGACATCGCTGCTGGATGTTCGGTGTCCGTGGGGGCAGGAAAAGGTGAGTTTTAAAGTCTATAAAGTGGTATAAGTTAAACCTACATCTTAAGTGGAGTGCTTAATATGAAATATATTCCTTGGCTGAATAATAACACTTATTGGAATTGGTCGAATGGGTCAATCTAATATCTTGGCATTTAATTGCTATCTAATTTATACAATCTAATTTAAATTAATTATAGCAACTTACTTACATCCATAAAAACTAACCTTTCGAAATAGAAAGTTTTAGAAATCTCATGGATGGGGTGTATCAACACAATTTCAATGTATGTAATGCCTTATTTAATATATCTATTTTGTTCAATTCCACTTAGAGCCCCTTTCTAATCTACTTTTTTAAATCAAAAATCTATTCATGAGTTTGATATGGGGCAAACCTTGTATCTCTTATCAAATCTTAACTAGAAAAATAAAAAACTTTGGCATGAACATTCCCACTGTTAAGGAGATTCATGACAACATCATGTTAACCATTACTTAAAATGGTATTATTCAACAACCAGTTACCCAAGTTGGAAACAATTGGAGAAAGTAACGTCATCTAATCTATCTCTTTCAAATTTGATTTGGATCCACAAGGTTCATTATAAGGAGATTAAGACCTCTAACAAAATAGTCAAAAATGTAATTAAGAGTTTAAAAATATTCAAAAGGAATATTGGAATCTCAAATTAACTTATGCTATCTACTCCGATAAGCGTTCTCCAATTCTATACTCAGGATCTGAATTTAAAAACATGGGAAGAAAGTGGCAATTAAATCAAATTACCCCATCAGGTACTTCTCTAACTTTTGATAACTTAAAAATAGTTTTTATGGAATCTCTGATTCTTAAGCATATAATTATATTAGGATCAAACATTTTATTAATTGTATAGGGATTTTGAAAATTGTATAAATATACAACATAAAAATAAACTAATTTCTAAAATCACGCAATTCATACTTGATTTTTTTTATAATTCAAAAAACACTTTCTTTTGAGAAATGGGAAAGAGATATGGATAACATTTTCAATTGAACAACTGGGAAGATGCTTAGTACAGCTAAAAAAATAGGTTTACAACTAAAATTTAAAAAAATATTTTAAAATCAACCACAGATGGTCTCTTACCCCAAATAAGATCCATGACTTTGTTAGGAAATTTTTAACTTCATGCTGAAGATGGTTGAAGGGCATTGGTACAACCTACCATATGTGGTGGGAATGTGAAAGATTACAAGAAATTAACAACAAGATTTCCAATATTTTTTTAAAGATTCTTTTTTAAGGGGTATCGCTATCCCTGAGTTTGCTTCTTTTCCATTTGGATTTATCTAGGTGTAGCTCAACAAAAAATATTATTAATTTACATTTTCATGGCTGCAAAATTAGTAATCGCTAGAAACTGGAAATCAGCAGTAACTACACTTTGGTTAGAAATTGTTAATCAAATCAATTATCAAATCCAAATGAAAAAGGGCTTCTACAGAATTGGTGATAGCATCTCCTTATATAATCTAATTAAACTAGAATGGGCTAAGATACATTAACTGTAATTACTACCTGGGCATTAATTAATTAAGTAATTAAGTAAGATCTCTCTCAATTACAAACAAAAGGATAAAATCTCACTCATGACAGAACAGGGGCTGACCCACCCCATGCGCGATACACAAAACCCTCATATTAAATCGCTGACAAATAAGATGCATGTATGGAATGTATTGTATTGTACATATCTTTGCACTATTTATGTTTGTCAAATATTGTGTATGTCTTAATGTAATGTAATGAAAAAAAAAATTTCTTCTATGAAATACAATAAAGAAATATAAATAATAAAATTCATCCAAATTGACATTTGGAACGAAACGAATTGTACACGTCTAATAGCCAGTACAGCCCAGTGTAGTGGCAAGGATGCCTGATTACCCAGTAATGTGACAAATTTTTTATCAATGGTTTGTCTCTTTATCTGGGTCCATGTCTAGTTTAGAGGCTTCCTGGTGGTCCAATGAAAGGCTTCTAGCTTCTGTAGAGCTTGTAGAATCCAAAAGCCATGTTGCTAACTTCTCTCCTTTGCAAATGTCCAGACTGAATAAGGACAAAATAGCTTCCCTAGAGGTCTTTCCCACTTAGACCTCTTCAATATCAGATGTGTAGAAAAAAGGAAAAAAGGGATGCAGCTAAGAACTAAAATAAAAAAGAAAACAGACAACACATAGTGATGTACAGTTGGATAAGATAACACACTGCAATAATGGTTGCACTCACAAGACTTAAATGAGATATGCACCTTAAAATCCACAAAGGGATATTGCTGGACCGCTTCCACTGGAGGATGGTGAATAGTAAGCAGACTCAAGTGGCTCAGGATACAATCAGGAACCAGATTTTGAAAAGAAGAGATTTATTTAGGCACAATTGCCCAATAAAATATAAAAAATAAAATCTAAAATCTAACGCGTTTCATCCAACGCAGTGGACTTCATCAGAGAAAAAACCAAATTCAACAATAGTACATGAAACAAGCATGCATATAAACCACCCCCCCTCCCAGTCCCATTAAAAGCATATTGTAGAAGGAGTTGATTGAAGATCAATCAGGTGTGCCTGGACTCCAAAGGACTTTCATTGGTGGGCAGAGAGGTAGACCGATTTTCATTGGAACTGTTAATGACACCAGCTGATGTATATGATTGCCGGTGTAGTTTTTCGCGGGTCCGTCCGGCTTGCGTTCCACCGGACCATGTATGCGTTCCACTTCCTCCTTCCGGCTTTGCGCATCACTTCTGGTTCCGGTTGAAACGTCCTGAACGTCTATGCGTTCCAACTGTGAATTTACAAGTGTTCCATAACGAGCATTTAATGCTCAAAGGGTATTGATATTGCAGGTGTGAGAAGATTAAATGTGAAAAAGTTAGTTGTATACATGTGCAGTAACAATGTATGTATATTCCATATCAAAAGAATAATAAATTACCTAAAAATAAAATACAATTGGAAAAGAAAAAACAATGCATCTCTCATCATAAAGGTTTTAATAAAAAAAAAATGTTTTTCTCATTTTCCTCCCCCATCCTTTCCTTCCCCTCTTTTTATTTCTTTACATATTTCATGTGTATTTGTGTTATATGTCATTAAACAGGTCAAACAGAGGCCCTGAAAATATGAAAACTATTAAGTGATTATAAATTTAATTAATCAGTAAAAACTAAGTTTTCTCCTATGAATGCAAAAAATATATAGATATAAATGTGAAAGAATAAATAAAAATTGAAAAAAATCCTTTTAGAGGAGAGATGCAAATCTTTTCCAGAAAATCAAGTAAATCTTAACAATCAGTTTCCTTATAATAGATATTGTCTAGAAAGAAAAGAGAGGACAGTATCATGTCATAAAACAAGCTAGATCTATATCGACATTCATCCCCTTTGGCTCTAAGGAATCTAGTTGATAGATCCAATAAGTTTCTCTTTGAGACAATTTAAGATCTCTGTCCCCTCCTTTCCAATGGGGGGATATTTATTCAATGCCTACACCTTTAAAGTCTCTCCAATTAAAAGAAGGACACGAATTGCAATGGACCGGTATGGAATGGGTGGTCATACCTTTTCTGATGTTATTAATATGCTCCATAAGGCGAATCTTAAGGAGTCTTTTAGTTTTTCCCACATATTGTTTGCCACACTGCAGTACATACACAACATAGTCCGTGTTGCATCCAATACTTGATTTAATGGGGAAACTAGTTTGAGTAATAGAGCTGGTAAAATTAAAGGATTCACCCAAGTTCATCCTATAGCATGCTTTGCACATTGAACATCCTTTAAATCCCTTATGTCGACATGTGTTATTTGTATGGATATTAATTTTCTTTGGATACCTGGGTGCTATAAGGTTTTTTAAATTTTGACTTTTTCTGTAGATAATGGAAGGATGATTTGGTATGACACTACCCAAAACCGGGTCCTGCAAAAGTATAGGCCAAAATTTGTTTAGACACTTTTTAATCTTCCAATGGTCTGTATTAAAGGACCACTATAGTGCCAGGAAAACATACTCGTTTTCCTGGCACTATAGTGCCCTGAGGGTGCCCCCACCCTCAGGATCCACCTCCCGCCCGGCTCTGGAAAGGGGAAAGGGGTAAAAACTTACCTTTTTCCAGCGCTGGGCACGCGCATTCAGCCCGTCGCATAGGAAAGCATTTACAATGCTTTCCTATGGACGCTTGCGTGCTCTCACTGTGAAAATCACAGTGAGAAGCACTCAAGCGCCTCTAGTGGCTGTCAATGAGACAGCCACTAGAGGATTTGGAGGAAGGCTTAACCCATTCATAAACATAGCAGTTTCTCTGAAACTGCTATGTTTATAAAAAAATGGGTATCCCTAGAAGGACCTGGCACCCAGACCACTTCATTAAGCTGAAGTGGTCTGGGTGCCTAGAGTGGTCCTTTAAATTTAGTGATAAATGGGCGTTTGGATTCATCTCTATATTGTACCTCTGGTTGGTCTATAAGAAGATAATTTCTATCTCTCTGTGACATTATTCTAATCTCCCTTTCAATACTGTTTTTATTATATCCCTTGCTCGTTAATTTTTTCTTTATGTGTTCAGCTTGGGTTTTGAAATCTCGTAAACTAGAACAGTTGCGTCTTACTCTAGTAAGCTGACTTTTGGCAATGCCTCTTAACCATGGCTTATGGTGGCAAGACTTAGTGTGTACGTAACTATTACCATCTGTTTTCTTGAAAAAACATTTGGATTGTACTTGTTCTCCTCTTTGGAAAAGGGGAAGGTCCAAGAAATTAATGGTGTGTTGATTCCATTCTGGTGTGAATTTTAAATTAAATGTATTGATGTTAAAATGTTGGACAAAAGACATGAAAGATTCCTGTGAGCCCTTCCAAATTATGATTACATCATCAATATATCTCTGCCATAGGACCAGGCTCGCCCTCCAGTTATGCCTGCACCAAACGAAAAGGTCTTCCCACCTTCTCATATAGATGTTGGCATAACTGGGGGCGAACCTGGTTCCCATAGCGTTCCCCGTAACCTGAAGGTAAAAATTTCCTTCATAAAAACAATAGTCGTGTTCAAGAATAAACTGGATAGCAGTAAGAATACATTTTTTGAATGCAACAGGTACCTCTTGATCCTGATCTTTAAAAAATTGGACTGCCTCAATACCTAAATTATGATGGATAAACGTATAAAGGGATGGTATGTCCAAGGTTGCCCAACTGTAATCACTTTGCCATTCAATATTATCCAACTCCTGTAATATGGCTTTGGTATCTTTGATATAAGAAGGGGCACTATGAGCGTATTTTTGAAGACATGCATCAAGGAAAGCCAATAGATTGGCTGTAATGGAATTAATTCCACTAATAATAGGACGTCCAGGGGGAGAAAACATGTTTTTATTGAGTATGGGCAAAAAATTAAAGAAATAGGGATAACTGGATGGTCATTAAATAGGTTTATGACATGATACTATCCTCTCTTTTCTTTCTAGACAATATCGATTATAAGGAAACTGATTAAGATTTACTTGATTTTCTGGAAAAGATTTGCATCTCTCCTCTAAAAGGATTTTTTCAATTTTTATTTATTCTTTCACATTTATATCTATATATTTTTTGCATTCATAGGAGAAAAGTTTTTACTGATTAATTAAATTTATAATCACTTAATAGTATTCATATTTTCAGGGCCTCTGTTTGACCTGTTTAATGACATATAACACAAATACACAGGAAATACCGGTATGTAAAGAAATAAAAAGAGGGGAAGGAAAGGATAGGGGGAGGAAAAGGAGAAAAAGGTAATAGGTAATTTATTATTCTTTTGATATGGAATATACATACATTGTTATTGCACCTGTATACAACTAACTTTTTCACATTTAATCTTCTCACATCTGCAATATCAATACCCTTTGAGCATTAGATGCTCGTTATGGAACACTTGTAAATTCACAGTTGGAATGCATAGACGTTCAAGACGTTTCAACCGTAAGTGATGAGCAAAACCGGAAGGAGGAAGTGGAACGCATACACGGTCCGGTGGAACCAAGCCGGACGGACCCGCGAAAATCTACACCAGCAAGCATATACATCAGCTGGTGTCATTAATAAGTCCAATGAAGATCGGTCTACCTCTCTGCCCACCAATGAAAGTCCTTTGGAGTCCAGGCACACCTGATTGATCTTCAATCAACTCCTTTTACAATATGTATTTAATGGGACTGGGAGGGGGGTGGTTTATATGCATGCTTGTTTCATGTACCATTGTTGAATTTGTTTTTATCTCTGATGAAGTCCACTGCGTTGGACGAAACGCGGTAGATTTTATATTTTATTTTTATATTTTATTGGGCAATTGTGCCTAAATAAATATCTTCTTTTCAAAATCTGGTTCCTGATTGTATCCTGAGCCATTTAAGTCTGCTTATTATCCACCATCCTCCAGTGGAAGCGGTCCAGCAATATCCATTTGTGGAATTTAAGGCGCATATCTCATTTAAATCTTGTGAGTGCAACCATTATTGCAGTGTGTTATCTTATCCAACTGTACATCACTATGTGTTGTCTGTTTTCTTTTATATTTTAGTTCTTAGCTGCATCCCTTTTTCCTACACAAATGTCCAAACATGCATGTTTCTATGGCAATTACTGTGCCTCTCCATCTATAAGCCCCACCCATTTTTTCTAATCAGACACCCTCTGACAGTCACATCAACAATCTCCAATAAACTTATGCTATCTACTCCGATTAGCATTCTCAAATTCTATATTCAGGATCTGAATTTAAAAACATGGGATAAACACTGACAGAAACACAAACTCTCAATGAGAGACACACAATCTCATTCATTTGAAACACACTCACTGACAGACAGACATACATAATCACTGACAGACACATACTCACTGATAGACACTCTCACTGAGAGAGACACACTGACAATATGTATGATGACAGGGCTCCTCTAGGCATCCCCCACCTTCAGGCGCCTGGGTGTGGTTCACCTGGTGCACCCGCCCAGGATCGTCACAGACTGAGAGAATCAGCTGACCGCTCTCAGCCAGTGACAATTATTCTGTGCAGGTTGCACAGAATTGACATCATCCAGCCCAGAACTCAAGGCCGACTCGAACCTGGCAGGCTGATGACACCTCAATGACACTGGTGGAGTTACACCTGAACTTTGTATTTGCAGTTTTTCAAAGCAAAATGCTGCACATACAGACTCCAGACACCATGACTACTTCAAATTACTGAAGTGACCATGGTGCTTGGAGTAACTATTTAAGGCTGAGAATTATAAGGTTAAATATTAGGTGGTAACATGTATATCCAGGATTAGGCTTAATGCATACATGCTCTAAAACCACCATGAATTTTTTGTATATACTTGTGTATTTGATATAAGGCTTTACAGCTGGGTGTAGACAGATGTTTATGATTTCCTAGGATGGCTAATCTCAATAAACCCCCTAATGTAATCCCTTTTGATACCTGAAGAGCATCCAATGCATGCCAATACTAAAAGAGTAACTATGTATTCGGCTCTCAGAGTGTTAAATTAAACTTCCGTTCATTCACTTTTCTTTTATTCCATTCAAGATCATCTATCCATAGTATTTGCAGAACCTTTAACAAACTTTGCACACACCCTATTTAACGAATATACAGAGAACACTTCAGCCAGAGCTTATCAAACTGTTTGTTTAAGCAAAAAAAACTGCAGTTTCTCTTAAAAAAATGACTGTAGATGATTTTTTAGAGGTGTCAAGATTGTACAGCAGAGACAAACACCTTATGTACACAATAATATAAATCCTTCATGTCACACACTTTTAAAGAGGCATTAAGGAATGTCTCGTACAAGAAATCTTCCCGTGTTAACACATTTGGCGTTCAGCTCTGTTAATTATTCCTACATAGTCTCTGTTTGAACACAAGCATGCTTGCTGACTGCCCTGTGTGCAATGTTACCTCTTTGTTTCCCTCACCTGTTCAAAGACATAGCTCTGGCCAAAACTCCACCCCTCACAGGTGCTAATAGCACAAAGAAAGTGAAAATTGTATACATCTTAGAACTGCTGGGTTGTTTGCTTGCTCATTTCATTTTTTAACAATTAAAGGCAAAAACAAATGTTTGAGTTTCAGACAACTCCTTGTGATCACTGTTTTTCTTTTTTTTTTTTTTTAAATATTGTCATCACAGATCCGATTATAAGACTCCTTTATATTGTTGGACTACCAAGCCATGAGCACTTTCCAGTATAATAATGTCAGAGAAAGATGAGTTAACAATATAAAGGGATAAAAACAGGTCAAACAATGCATTTTTCATACAACAATGGTTTTTGGTGAATTGATAACTGTGTAGCAGAATTTAGACCAGCTGAGATGAAAATACGTTCATACTTAGATTTTGTTTGTCTAAAAGCAAATATACTTTGCTGTGTATAGTATTTGTATGTATCTTTTTTCTGCATTTTGTCATATATATTTAGTGTGTCTGTTCGAGCCAAGATGTACTATAATTAGAGTGTGGCGTTATGAAGGTCTGATCGCTGGAGAGAACAGTATAAAGATGTGAAGGCTCAGTGGAAGTGAAGGATGGTAAGAGGAAACAGATCAAGGAAATGTATTCTAAATGTTGAGTTACATTCTTTTGGTTTTTAAGGAGATTATTGTTTTATTTAGTTCAAAGTATTGTGCTTGTTTTTAGCTGTTAGCTGAATCTCTTTTTTTAGGCACCATGAAGCTGGACTACCATTGTGGTTGAGACTGGTCCAATATATGTGGTATATTTTTCACATTGTATGAGACCTGCGTGGGAACTAACTAATGTGCAATATACTGAATGTGTGTCTGTTTATAGCGTTCTTGTAAATTCTGTTTTTGGTTAAAGGAACAGAGACATGCCATTATTCATTGAGGAGTGTCAGCATCTTCCCACTGATGAAGCCCAAAGCAAGCCAAATCAATCATCAGGGATCACTCTGATATGCAAATGGTATAGATTCACTCTGTACAGGCACAGGTGAACTAAACTTGTATGTAAGATGAATATGGACTAACAAGAATAAGCTGATCTTTTTTCCCTGTTCCATACAGTGAGTTTTTGGCTTACGGTCTTGATAAATCTCTCCATAAAGTTTCACAATATTGAAGATTTACTGAGCATACATAGAGTCCTTACAGCAGTTTCATAATGGTACATTTAATTAGGGGTGAGCCCTGCTCTGTAGCCCCATACCCATATAATTCACAGCAGTGTGTGTCCTAGTTATTTTGGAAACTGACGATACTGTGGTGGTAATTTCCAGCTGGACACCGTGTATATAACTCTGGGTCCATGAGACTAAGTACTTCCAATGGGAATTACATCTTCAGTACAGGTGACTGTTAAAAAAGGCAGGTGATCCTCTAACCCTAAATCTGCCATCCCTAGCATGTTCTTCCCTCTAACAGTAATTGAAGGTGCCATCTTATATTATTCCTTACACCAGGAGTTCCCAATTAATTTTTCCCGTTGAACCCTTTGACATAGTGTATCAACATCGTGGAACTCCACCCCCCCGGAAAAAAAATTACAATTGCGCCATTTAAAAAAAAAAAAATGTATGTGCCGGTGTGTGTCAAGGTGTGTATATCTGTGCTTGTATGTGCCAGTCGTATATCTAACACACAGATACACACACACACTGGCACACATATGTGTATCTGTGTGTGTGTATCTGTGTGTCAAAGTGTGTGTATCTGTGTTTGTATGTGTCTGTGTGTGTATGTATCTGTGTTTGTTTGTGTCTGTGTATCCAGGTGTGTGTGTCTGTGTTTTTATGTGCCAGTGTGGCAGATAGTGGCACACAGATACACACACTGACAAATACACACCTTGACACACCGTGTGTATCTGTGTGTGTGTGTGTATGTATGTATGTATGTATCTATCTGTGTGTCAAGGTGCATGTATCTATGTTTCAAAGTGTGTGTATCTGTGTGTATGTGTCTGTGTATCAAGGTGTGTGTATCTGTGTTTGCATGTGCCAGTGTGTATGAATCTGACACACAGATACACACACCTTGACACACAGTGTGTATTTGTGTGTGTGTGTGTGTGTGTGTATGTATGTTTGTATCTGTGTGTATCTGTTATTGTATGTGCTGGTGTGTGTCAAGGTGTGTATATCTGGGTTTGTATGCGCCAATGTGTGTCAATGTGTCAATGTGTACATGTATCTGACACACAGATATACACACACACGGCACACAGATACACACTGACACATCGACACATACAAACACAGATACACACACTCAGATACACACTGACACACACATCTTGACTCACAAATACACACACACACACTCAGATACACACAGTGACATACACACACTTGCACCCACAGATACACACTGACACACTCAGATACACACACACACCGGCACATACAAACACACTGATACATACACACTCTTTGACATACACGCTCACTGACAAACACACTCTTTGACAGACACACATACTCTTTTACAGACACACATACAAACACATATAAACTCTCATTGACAAGAACAGATACATTCTCACTGACAAACACATACACTCACACACTCACTGACAAGCACACAATCACTCTCACTGACAAACACACAAACACATACAAACTCCATAACAGACACACATAATTTTTTTTTTCTTTACATTTTACTCCACCCAGCCCCCCTACCTTTAGGAGTGCTGGCATGGAGTCCCTGGGGTCCAGTGGGGCTGCTGGCATGAAGTCCCTGTGGTCCAGTGGTGCTGGCTGCAGCTTGGCAGGCAGTCAGGAGGTCTGGCAGACAGGTAAGTGGTGGCCGCGGGCAGTGAGGGAGCTCTCATCTCCCTGCTCAGCTCCCTCGCATGCCTCTTAGTGATGCCGGAGCCGGAGTGACGTCATATTCCGGCTCTGGCATCACTGCTGTGAGCGCGAGGGAGCTGAGCAGGGAGATCACTGCTCACTGCTGCATCACCGCCTGTGGCCAGTACTTTCTAACTGTAGGAGCCAACCCTACGTTGCTGTTTTGAGGATGTGCTCTTTTAAATTCTGTCAGATTACAATTTTGTGTTAACTTTGCGGAATGAATTACTTAAATCAATTGAATACCATATGTGAAAGGTTCCACACTTGGATATATTTATATTTTTCTCAGACTGTAGTTTATTGTTGATAAGGAGGATTACATAGCAATAAAATAAAAAACATGTGATTAAAACATTAGGGGAAACTTCATAGGATTTATAAATAACAGAAGACATTTTAGTTTGTTAGACATAATGATTCCTATACTGTTAAGTAATCAATAAGGTTACTTCCATCCAGTATTGTGAGAACAGTGGTAATTCCAAAATATGCAACATTGTGTCTAATTCCTCTGTACCCCTTCAACATTTGTTCATTTTATTGAGGTAAAATAAGACTAATTTTGTAGGAACCATGTAAAACCGATAGAAAATGTTTCAAGTTATTTCTATGGGTGTGGTGCATAGTATGATGCCCTTATATATGCTAATGGCAGTCATCCGTTCAGTATCCAGTATGGTATGGCCTAGATCCGTTGCCATGCTGGTACACAGTTTTAATGTATGTATATCTATTGTCCCTTGTAAGAGTTACCGATTATAGAGATCAGTTTTGTGGTTGCTGACAACGATTTTTCAGAGTCGGACAGCTGTTGCTCACTTACAGAGTTTGTTTGTTGTTGAAAATTGGTAAATTACAACAATCTGAGCTGCAAAGGAGAAGTTTGCTATAGATGTAACATTGTATAAGGTTTCAAATGTGGGGAAGGTAGCCAGATCCCCTTTATGGAAAAGCTAATATAGATGACAAATACCCATTATTTACCAGATTAATGGTTAAAGTCTGGTATGACTGAGATAATTTTGCTAAGAGGTGTAGCTAAGGATGTGGGGTTGAGGTGACATAGCTTATGTCTGTATGTATCCTATATTGCTATAGGGATGGCCATGGTAGAGAGTATTTTTGTCACGGAAGAGTGGTATGCTTTCTGTGACAATACCAAGGATGTTAAACAAAGTCTTTCAGTCTATCATGCCTCTATCAATACCTATTGTGGTGCATGTAGGGATACATGTGCCAAGACAATACTTTTTAGAATCACCGCTTTGTATTAGAGGGCAATATTAGGAAGTCCCATTCTCCCTTGTAACATTGGCTTACATAGAGTGTTGGCAGCTATTCTCAGTTTTGTCTTCCACTCTATATAAACTTGTTTATGGAAGTTTGTAAATGTTTGAAAAAAAAAAGGATTTTGAAACTTGGAAGGGTAAAGTAAATATTGAAGTTTTGATATAATTGTCAAATTTTGTGGTTGCTATGAGACCTGACCATGTTAACATTTTACCTTTCAAACTCTCAAATAGTTTAGTAATCTCCCTGCTTAGGGTATTGTAATTTAGGTGGAAAAGTTGGGATAAGAAATTTGATAGTAACACTCCTAGTAGGTTATTGCTTTCTTTTTCCACTCATAGTTTTATTTGGCCTTCAAGAGTTGAAGGTCACTGTCATTTATTCCATAAACTCCTACTGGTAGTGACATGTGCAAGGGTGCTATTGAGCTCAAGATAACTGTGGAGAGAACTGAATTCTGTGTAAGACTGCTTGGAGGAAAGACCAGTGAAGATGTTCTAACTGAAGATGAAAAGATCCATACTGAAAAGAAGTGACACTGCTTTCCTTGTGCCATCAGAGGCATGGTTGTGGATGATGGTGGGTACGATGGTCTAACCAGGGCCGGATTAAGAGCCCAGCGGGCCTGGTGCTGACAATTATGATGGGCCTAATTACAGAATCGTATCAACCAAAAACACTAAAACAATCATACCTCCCAAGCGTCATGTATCTGATGGAGATGGTGCTGGAGGGAAACTCATAGGATGCAGCTATAAGAAAACACATACTCTATGCTAATTTCTCTCTAATTTATGCTTTCATCTTTCAAGTAAATCCATAACCCCTAACAGCAGTGTCCAGTGAAGCAGGAAGTCAATGGGCGGGGTAAAAGGGTGTGCCACTGGCACGAATCACGTGACAAGACCTGCCAAAAGGGGTGAACATGCCCAAAAAGGGGGCATGTTTGTCCAAAGAATTGGAAGGTCAGCCTGGCATGAATGCATGTCAGGCTGCCTCCCAATCCTGCAGGCTGTCCAACTAAGGGCATACTATACAGGCAGCACCTTGAGCTGAACATAAATGCATCAAATGATGATGTGCTCACTCCATTCTTTCTAAGGACTGTCCCCTAGCACTCGCTGGTCCACTTGTCTCCTTACCTTCTTACTAGCAGGCAGAAGTTCCTGGTATATAGTCTGAGACAGAGAAAAGTTGTCTGTAGTGAGTGTAGAAGAAAGGGGACATGCCACAGTGTTAGAGAGACCAACGTCTGCATTACCTAAACTAGCCAGTGCACACAAGTTTTGTTCCCATACATCCCTCTTAAGCTTCCAAACTTAAAGGAACACTATAGTCCCAGAACAACTACAGCTTATTGTATTTGTTCTGGTAAGTAGAATCATTCCATTCAGGTATTTGCAGTAAACACTGTCTTTTCAGAGAAAATAACTCCACTGGCCGCTCCTTAGATGGCTGCTAGAGGTGCTTCCTGGGGCAGTACTGCCTAGTGTGCAGCACTGCCATTCAGTGTCTCCACCCTCTTGCATGCAGACACTGAACTTTCCTCATAGAGATGCATTGATTCAATTTATCTTTATGAGGAGATGCTGATTGGCCAGGGCTATGTTGGACTTGTGCTGGCTCTGCTCCTGATCTGCCTAGGTGACAGTCTCAGCCAGTCCTATGGGGAAGTATTGTAATTTGATCAGACCACCACTTCTGAGCCAGCAGCTACAGAATTGAATACAAGTAATATTTTACTATATTTAGGGAGGCAAGAAGGGGCAAGGGTGGTGGTTTTAACATAATAGGGTCAGAAAAACATGATTGTGTTCCTGACCCTATAGTGCTACTTTAAGCAAGAGTATGTGAAGAGTAGTTAAGGTTTCCACCTTTCTTGGAAAAAAATACCAGCCTTAATCATTTGTATAATTAATTAGTTATGCGTGACATCACATGATGTAAATCACAAGGAGTGACATCAGAGAAAATTCTGTAAAATCACCAACAAACTACTCACAGTTTGATTCTGCTGTATAGATTGATTGCTCCCAGTGTCTCCCTGTCTTCCAGTGTCTCAGTCTCACAGTGTCTGTGTCCCCATTTCTCCCAGTGTCCCAATGTCTCAGTGTGTCCCCATGTCATTAGGATGCTGGGGACACTGAGAGACCCGGGGACACTGGGAGACATGGGGACACTGGGAGAAATGGGGACACTGAGACACTAGGGACACAGACACTGGGAGACATGGGGACACTGAAACATTTGGGGACACTAAGACACTAGGGACACAGACATGGGAACACAGACACTGGGAGACTAGGGGACACTGGCTGGGAGACAGACACTTGGGGACACTGGGAGACATGGGGACAATTGTGGACATAGACATGTGGACACTGGGACATATAGGGACACTGGGAGACATGGGGACACCAGGCACACTGAGACACTAGGAACACAGACACTGGGAGACATGGAGACACTGAAACATTTGGGGACACTAAGACACTAGGGACACAGACACTGGGAGACTAGGGGACACTGGGAGACTAGGGGACACTGGGAGACTAGGGGACACTTGGGGAGACATGGGGACAGTTGTGGACATAGACATGAGGACACTGGGACACATGGGGACACTAGGCACACTGAGAGGCATGGGACACAGACACTGGGAGACTTGGGGACACTGAGACACTAGGGACACTGGCTGGGGGACATAGTGTCTCCGTGTCCCAATATCTCCCAATGTCCCTATGTCTCACAGCGTCCCCATGTGTCTCAGCATCCCCATGTGTCCCCTAGTGTCTGTGTCCCCATGTTTTCCAGTGTCCCCAAGTGTCTCAGTGTCCCCTAGTGACAGTGTCCCCATGTGTCCCCTAGTGTCTGTGTCCCCATATGTCCCCAAGTGTCTGTGTCCCCTAGTGTCTCAGTGTCCCCATGTTTTCCAGTGTCCCTAAGTGTCTCAGTGTTCCCAGGTCTCCCAGTGTCTGTGTCCTAGTGTCTCAGTGTCCCCTAGTGTATGTGTCATCATGTGTCCCCTAGTGTCTGTGTCCCCAAGTGTCTCAGTGTCCCCATATGCCCCCTAGTATCTGTGCCCCATATGTCCCCTAGTGTCTCAGTGTCCCCATGTGTCCCTGCTGCCTTCCCCCCCATCCCTCACTTACCTGAGCTGTAGAGCTGCTGTCTGGACTCTCTGTGCTGTGTAGCTGCTCCCCCACGGATCAGTGAGTAGAGATAGGCAGGGAGGGATATGCTGTTACTTCCTATCCCTGCCTCTCTCCATACACAGTGACCCCTACTGGCCGGTGCTGGTATTGCAGAGTAATTTCCAATTATTATGAGAAAATTACCTGCATTTGTATTGCCAGTATTACTGCAATACCGGCACGGCCAGGCAGCCTCAAATACCGTCTGTGCCATTAAAATACCAGTCAGGTGGCAAACCTAAGAGTAGTGTGTAAAAAAAAAAAAATTATTATTTTTTTTTTTTTTTTAAATGGGCCTATTCCATGGGCCTGGGCCTGGAGCTGCAGCTCCATCAGCCCCTATGTTAATCCGGCCCTGGGTCTAACCTATTTGTCAAATGTTTGGCCATGATCTTTGCATCCAAGTTCAAAACTTATATTGGTCTGAAATTTTGTTGGGGATTTTCCAGGCTTGGGTTATGTTGCTACATTTGCCATTAACAATTCAGATGGGAATGATGCAGACTGAATTGTTGAATTAAGGGAGCTATGTTGTTGAGAAGGGTTTGTAGCATAAGTTTGTGAAGCCACCTGACCTCAATGTTTTTTGTTTTTTTACCCGGAAGAGAGTCAATAATGTCCTCTTTTTCAGTAATAGAGGCTTCTAGGATCTCTTTATGCGTTGATGACAAGCTAGGTAGCTTAATTTATTATATAGAGTCATCTATTTTAGCTTGTGCTGGTTGGTGTAAGGATATATCTTTAAGTAAGTAGTATGGTGTACTGTAGAACATGGTAAACTCATTGCAGATGTCTTGCAGCCTAAGAATTTTTCATCCTGAAACTAAGATTAAGTAAAGTATCTTTGAGTCACTCAGATTAAAAACATACTTGCAGTAAAGCTGTTATTTTAGAAGAGGCTTTTGCAGGAGTAGTTTAACTGCAGAGGAGTTTAAAAAATTAAAGTCCACGTTAAGGTACAAATTTGACTAGGCAGAAATTGAAGATTATGCTAGCTTTAGTGTATTTATAATCTTAATTTTAGTAATGACAGGAGGCAAATATTTTGCATAATCTCTCTTTACTAACTCCAGAGCAGCAAAGAAAAAAGTGTATAACAAAAACCATTAAAAATGCAATTGGAAGTATAGTATCCAATGTGAATTCACTCCTCCTCCTCTTTCAGCTAGCGACATCACAGAGGGAAGTTCAAACATAACGAACAAAGATATTCTTTAACATCACCGAGGGAAAGTTCAACATAGCGAACAACAGACATTCCTCTTGAAACGAAGGATAATCCCAGTTCTTGAACGAAGTAAAATCCCGCCTTGAATTAAACTGAAAAGAGAATATGGAAATAGGTTAGACACTAGTCTCAAAACTACGAAAACAAGGAACTAACCTCTCAATTGAAAGAATAAAACTACATGTGTTCTAAAACAACAAAATAAGTATAAATAAGTTATACAAAAAATACAGTAACCGTAGCTAAGCACGAAAAACATTCCTAATATGAATTGTAAGTACATAGGCATCAGATATCTATGAGGAGAATACAAGTGGAGACATGGGATGACAAATGAGGCGAAAGGATAGCATGACGGAAATTCAGATAGATAGGACATGCGAGCCCAGTACCCCTAGAGACCGAACTGAGTGAACTCTTATAGTCCCAAGGAGGAAGGGAATGGGTGGGAAAATACTCACCTCCCGTCATTACTAAAATTAAGATTATAATTACACTAAAGCTAGCATTATCTTCACGTTTAACATATGACAGGAGGCTTCCTATTTTGTATTTTTAACGCTGATGTAGTAGGGAAAAGGCTACATTAGGAACCAGCCTAAAGTAAAGGGTCCGAAACGTGGCTTCCCCAGACCAGTCTGCCATACGAAGGATATCCGACAACGATGCCCCCACCACAAAAGCCGACGAGGCAGCCGCACTACGCACTGAGTGAGCTCCGAACACTGCATCCACCCACGTGAGGGATAAAACCCATCAAATCCATCTGGCAAGTGTAGTAACACACACCGGGCTATGTGGTTTAACGTAGGAAAACAGTAGTTGCCTGGAGTTAGAAGTTCAGAGTGGGGTTGTAGCTTCCACGTAACTACACATAGCTGAGGGTCCCAGATGAAAAAAGGGATAAAAGAAAGAAATCGAATCAGACTTAGTGCGATGGGATACCGTAAGGTGACCCTGTCCAGAGAGACCGAAAAAGCATCGACCTCGAACACCCGTACGTCCGAAACTCGTCAGAAGGAGACGAGGCAAAGTAGAACTGTAAATTTGGGTGAAAGTTGGCGAAGAGACAGTCTGTCATTGGGAGGCCAGTCCCTTTAAAAATGGAGGACGACGTAGACGTCCCATAAATGCGAGTATTTGGGCCTAGGGGCTGTTGCAGGCGAATGCCTCTTAGTAATCGACACACTAGAGGGTCTTTACCCACGGGATCCCCTGAATCGGGACACGTGCTGCCGAAATCACCGACCACACCACGTTAATCGACCAATATGATCGACCAGAGGCAAACAGTGAAGATAAGAAGTTTAAAATGGAGGACATAGGGGCCGTAAACGGATCGAAGTCCCTTTCTACGCACCAAGTGGACCAGGAGGCCCACACAGAGAGATAACATTGTCTCATCCCCGGTGCCCATGAGTCCCATAGGAGTTCCCTAGCAGCCTGCGATAGTTCTCCGGTCTTCCAGGCCCCCCGGAAAGAGTCCAAGCCACCAGGGGTAAACGATCATCCAATAGCAACACATGAGGGTTCCCTTTTGGATTCGTGAGGAGTGTTGGATAGGACGGCAGTAAGAGCGGATCCACGTAGGACAATGCCATTAGGTTCGGAAACCGTAGTTGACTCTGCCATAGGGGAGTGATGAGTAGCAGAGATATTTGATGAGTATTCTCCGGTGTTTGGCCATGTTTGTAGGAAAGCGTCCACCACCTTGCTTTCCGGGTCTGGGAGCCAGCTGAAGAAATCCGGAGTCTGTCTGTTGTTGTGTGAATCGAACAGATCCAATAGAAATGGGCCTCTCACATCTGAGAGGATGTAAAAAATTCGGGAAGCCAGCATCCAGTCACTGCCGTCTAACCAATGTCGTGAGAACCAGTCCGCCGTGAGATTTGTCTCTCCCGGTAGGCACTCCGCCTTGAGCGAGATGTTGCAGGGAAGGCAGAAATCAAAAATCTCCTTTGTTATTTCTGACAAGAGCCGGGATCGTGCTCCGCCCGGGCGGTTGATATAGCGGACCGCTGAGACGTTGTCCATCCTGAGGAGAATGCAGCAATTGGTCCTGTCCCTTGCTAGGCTGCGTATGGTGAAGGATCCTGCCAGGAGCTCTAGGCAGTTAATATATAGGTTTAGTTCCTGTGAAGTCCAGGTGCCTCCTGTCAATATGCGAGAGAATATGAGAGGTCCTCCATTTCTTTGATGGTCTCTAGTTTGGAGATCCATTCTCTGATTGTTGGTGGTTTGTCTTGTTTCCATTTGGTGGGGATTAGGCCGTTAGAAGCTGTGAGTAGATGGTTGATCAGTATGTGGTATGATTTGGGAAGGTGGGTTGGGTATCACATGAAGAGTAGGGTTTCGGGTTTGTGAGGGATTTTCTGTCCTGTAACTACTTTTATTAAATCAGTTATTTTCAGCTAGTATGTCTGGACAACTGGGCATGACCACTATATGTGGCTAGTTGTACCCTCTGCGCTTTTGCATCTCCAGGATAGTTTTGTTGAGTTGGGGAAGAATTTATGTATGCGGGATGGTGTGAAGTGCCATCGTGATATGCGCTTGTAGTTGCCTTCTTGGATAGTCGTGTTTTTGGATGAACGGAATATGTTTGTGAATATCTTCCTCCAGTCATCTGGGTGGAGTGTAATGTTTAGTTCATCTTCCCATGTTTTGGTGAAATCTGGGAGCTTGAGGTCTGATTCTGTCTGCAGGATTTTATAAAAGGTTGAGAGATGGCCCTTTTGGAGTTTGTTATTTGAGCTCAATGTTTCAAAGATTGTGAGGTTTCTGTGTCCCTGCAATAGGTCCAGTCTAGATTGTATAAAATGTTTAATCTGTGTATATCTGAACTGGAGTATGTCTGTTCTGTCTGGGAGCGGTATCAGGTCATGATAGGGAATGATCTCCTTATCTTTCACAATATCTTTTAGGCATAAGGGTTTAAGATTAGTGTTAAACTTTGCGAAGGACTCTTGATGCATATCTGGCAGAAACTGGGGGTTTCCTATTATGGGGAGTAGTGGGGAGAGTTGTGATGATATACAGCTATTTTTCCTGATATTGGCCCAGTATTTGAGGGTGGGGATTATGGTAGGATGAGAGGTGTTTGTTGGCATCAGTAGTTTTGTTCCTGATTCGAGCCATGGTATCGTGTTTAGTGGGACTTTAAAGCATTGAGATTCTATTTGTACCCATTGTTTTGGGTATTGTGGGAGAGACCAATCGTGAATTTATGTGAGTATGGTTGCCTTATGATATATTTCTATGTCCGGCACTCCCAAGCCTCCTTGTGTTTTGTGTCTAGTCAGATATCTGAATTGGATCCTAGGGTGTTTTCCTGTCCATAGATATCTCATAATGAGGTGTTTTGTTTGCAAAATGAATGACTGTGGTAGGTTAATAGGTAGGGTCTGTAGTAAGTAGAGAAATTTTGGGAGTACAGACATTTTTAGGATATGGACCCTGCATAACCATCCAAATTGTGGTTTGTTCCACGTTTTGAGGTCTGCTGCTATGTTTTTAAGAAGTGGTGGGAAATTAAGTTTGTAGGTTTTTTCTAGTGATGAAGTAAGGTGTATTTGACCTCAGTCGTAGGCCATCCGAATGAGTATGTGTGTTTTAGGTTAGTTTGAGTAGCCTCTGTCATTTGAAGGGGAGAATCTCGCTTTTGCTCATATTGACTTTAAAGTTGGAGACTTGGTTGTATGTGTCTATTTCCCTGAGTAGGTGAGGAAGCGAAGATTCGGGGTACGTGATTGTGAAGAGCAGATCTGAGACCTTATATTTGCTGTCACCTATTCTCATGCCTTGTATGTCAGGGGTGTCTATTATTCCCTGTAGGAATGGTTCTATCGTTAGTATGAAGAGGAGCGGGGATAGAGGGCATCCCTGTCTCGTGCCATTAGATATGTGGACAGTGTCCGAGAGTTGGCCATTGACTCTGAATTTTTGCTCCCGGAGTTGAGTATATGGCTGATATCCATGAAAGCCAGTTTGGGCCAAAGCCCATAGCTTGCATTGTCCCTTTTAGTAGGGTCCAATCCACCCCATCAAATGCTTTTTCAGCGTCGATTGTGAGTATAAGACTCTGGGTCTGTATCTTGTTTGATATGTGTATGAGGTTAAGTAACTTGGTGGTGTTGTTTTTAGGCTCTCTGCCAGGTACAAAGCCGGCCTGGTCTGCGGGAATCAGTCCCTGTAATAGTGGTCTGAGGCGAGTAGCCAAACTTTTTGTGAAAATCTTTAAATCAACATTGATTAATGAAATTGGGCAGTAGTCTGCTTGGTCTTTGCCTGGTTTGGGGATCAAGGTCACATGGGCCTCTAAAGCTTCAGTTGGGAAGGAGTCTCCTTTAGGAATTGAGTTGTAGGCTGCTACGAATGGCTTGCTCAGAAGCTGTGAGTATGTCTTAAAATATTTAGCTGAGAATCCATCGGGGCCTGGGCTTTTACCTGTTGGGAGATGTTTGGTAGCTAACGTGAATTCCTCTGTCGTTATTGGTTCATCTATGATTCGTCTGATGTTGGAGGGGATGGTCTGCGTTAATCTATGTGTGAGAAATTTATGGACTTCTTCTGTGGAGGATGGATTTAGTCTCAAATTGTAGGTTGTAGTGGTTGTAGTGGTCAAATTGTAGGTTAGTGTAATATGAGTGGAATTCCTTTAGTATGTCCGGCTGGAGATGGGTAGTCTCGCCAGAGGGTTTTTAAATCTGGGATATGAAGGTTTGTTGTCTGCTTTTTTGTATCGCTTTTGCTAACAAGCGTCCGCATTTCCCCCCTTGAGTGAAATATTTATGTTTGGTCCTAAGGAATGTGTATTTGAGTTTGGCGTTTAAGATTGATTGGAGGATGGAGCGTTTATCCACTAATTGTTTATAGATGTCTAAAGAAGTGTTTTGTTTATGTCTGCAGTCTAGAGCTCGTATGTCGTTTGTGAGTGATGTTACCTGTTCTTTTCTTTGCCTTTTCTGTTTGGATGCTAATGCAATGATATGCCCTCGCAGTACCGCTTTATGTGCTTCCCAGATGATTGTAGGGGAGCTGGAGGGTGTGGCGTTTTCTGTAAAGTAGTTTCGCATGGCATCACCTAAAATTGTCACATTGGAGGGGTCGTTGAGTATAGCATCATTAAGTTTCCATTGGGCTCTCGTTGTAATGTTGGGACCTGTATGGACATGGTTAGGGGACCATGGTCTGATAGATACATGCTTGTATAAGGTGCAGATGTCTGTGTTGGAGAAATAACATGTCTAATCGTGAGTAGGTGTGTTTGACTGTTGAGTAATATGAGTAATTCCATGCTGTAGGGTGTGTTATTCTCCAACCATCAAAGAGGAGTGCTTTGTCTAGTAGCTGTTTCATTCTTGACTGGGTATTTGAGTTATGTTGTATTGCTCGAGAGGTTGTGTCCAAGTCTGAGTCTAGAAATGTTAAAGTCACCCCCTACAATGAGTATGCCTTCTGTGAAGTTCTCTATTTTGGTTAAATATTTGCGTAAGTGTGGGCATTGTTTTGTATTTGGGAGGTAGAGACTGGCAAATGTCACCTTGGTGTTGCCCAGTTGTCCTTTGACTATAATTAGTCTTCCGCTGGTGTCTGCATAATGGTCGGTGTGTGTGAATGGTGTTTTAGCTCCTATGTGGATGGCTACTCCTCTGGTTTTATTTTCTGTATAATTACCAAAAAATCCAGTGGGGTAGTGCTTGCTTCGTAGCATCCCTGGGTGGGGGTGGGGGTGGAGAGGGGGGGAGAGGTGTGGTAAGTATGGATTTGATACTTGCGGCATGTCTCAGGTAAGTCTGGTTTCTGTGTGCGGGGTTTACAGGCTGAGTTGCCGCAGGTTCTTATGTTGGCTTATCTTTGTCTGACTCCGTTGTTGCTTACTTTTGAGGTGGTGAGGTTTGACTGTTTGTCCAGTTTGCCTGTGACCTTTTCAAGGAGCCTGCATGAGGGAGTTTACACTGGCTGTAACACTGAGTCGTCGAGGTTGTGGTGCTGGTTGATAGTGGATCCTAAATTTGGATTCTAGGTTCTCAACACTAGTTTGTCAAGAGGCGATAAGTTGGTAGAAAGGGCCGTCAATGAGGATTGGACGAAGGCCTTAGTAAGTGGATCCTCCTCCATCTGATCCTCTGCATCATGTAGAGGGCTGCTTGCTCACAATTCCCATCAACCATCTTGGATATCTGAGCACCTTGCATGTTTCACCGAGGAACTGATCTTCTGAAATGTAGCCATTTCACCTTATCTTGCTATCTTTTGGGTTTGTTGTGTGTCATGTTTGTTTTTAATGGTTCAGAGCTGTGATTTTTATTTATATTCGTTGGTATCCAGTACCGTGCAGAAGAGCTTTATCTTATCCTTCGATTTTACATCCAGCCACACCCCCTCCCCCGCACTTGGATATATTGTTGAGGAACCCCACTTCTTTTCTTTTCTCTCCAGATCTATATTGAGTAAATAGCAAATGGAGCACATGCTGATAAGTCATAGACCGAAAGGAGAAAGGAACAAAAAGAGATAAGTAGCAGGCTGGGGAAATTCAGTTACTTAGTAAGTTTGTAAGAATGAAGAATTAATATGGAATGTGTGAGCTTGAAAATCAGCTACAGGAGGTGGTAAGGCAATAAAAGTATAATAAATGAAAATCAAGGGACAGGCTAAAATGAAAAGTTAAGCAATGGATCGAAGGGGAAAGCAGATGATGGCATTAAATTGGTAACTGATCTAAAAAAGGCAGCACGATAAAAATGTCATGGAGGAATAATGAGAAATGGGAACTTAAAGGAAATGCTAATGGTTATATGCCCTACAATGTATGAAACACATTAAACCTTTCACTTGGCCTTTATTCCTCAGTGACACATAGAGGGTAGTGTAATCTCAATGTATCTAGTGAAGATAGCTGACTTAATTCTCAGGATATGCTTCAGAATGTACAAATACAATGCTATTTCAAAGGTATTCACTAAAGTGAGAATGTCCAGGAATTCCGTGGAATTTCAACCAAACCCAAAACAGGACTGACTTAGAGAATCTTTCTAACTTGGCTATTTTAGCATCCATTACAATGTTCATTTTAAATTCACTTTGAATACCAGGTAGTTCTCACTTTACTGAATGACCCTGTTTGTATCGAATTCAGACTTCAGAGTTACACAGGCTGAAAAAAGACTTGCGTCCATCAACTTCAGCATTTCTCTGATTTGTTTTTGCTGTTCAACCAAAGGAAGGAAAAAAAATCAGTTTGAAGCACTTTCCAATAATGCAACAAACTAGGACAACTAAATCCCTTCTCAACCCCAAAATGGCAGTTCGATATCTGACTGGATCAAGAATCTATTACCCCACATATTAAATAGTATATCCATGAGTATTATGTTTTTGTAAGATTTCATCCAACTTCTGTTTAAAGAAGTATACAGTATGTGATAAAACCACCTCTTCAGGCAGAGAATTACACATCATTATTGTTCAAACTGTAAAAATCACTTTTCTTTGCCCTAATTTAAATATCATTTTTTCCAGTTTAAATAGGTGACCTTGTGTCTTTTGTATAGTCTGCTTTTGAATTGCTTTCAAGACAATGGCTTATATTGGGCTCAAAAATATTTGTATAAATCTATCATATCCCTTGTGATGCACCCTTTCTCAAACTAATCAGGTTTCAATTTGTAAGCTATTCTTAATAACGAAAATCTTCCCTTGCTCTTATTAATTTTGTAGCCTGCCTCTGCACTTTTTCTAGTGTAATAATGGCTTTCTTTAGAACTGATGCCCAAATTTGTACAGCATATTCAAGCTGTTACCATTGATTTATAAAGAGGCAAAGTCATATTTTCATACCAAAAATGAATGCCCCTTTTTATGCATGACAATAACTTGCTTGTCTTAGCAGCTGCTGATTGACATTGGACATTGTTGCATAGTTTGATGTCTACAACAATTCCCAAATCCTTCTCATGTATTTTCCCTAACTCACTGCTGTTTAGAGTGTAAGTTACTTGTGCATTCTTCACCCTGTAGGCATAATTTTGGGGCAATTTTCTTAGTAGACATCAAATTGCTCTGAGACATATTTAGCACATTCAAGGCCAATTTCCTTCCCCAAATAACCTTTAGTGTATGGCCAAATTGCAACTTAAAGAGTTACTCCAAGCACCATGATTACATCACTGATTTGGGTTCTGTATGTGCAGTATTTCACTATGGAATGTGTAACTCCACCTGCTTGTTATGCTACTTGGGTTATTTGGATTGGAACTCAACTGCAGCTTGTAGAACTCCTTAATTTCAATAGTAAAGAAACGAAGAATCTTTAAAGTATCAATACTGTAGCTTTAAGAAAAGAGAGGATTGCTGGCAATTTGAGAATCAAACAAAGTTTTAATGATTGATAAACTTAAATGAATTGCATATAGGCAATAATCCAATAAGAAGAAAGTGCAGGTTATCCAACAATACAAAGGTCATTAATAAGTATTTCCTCAGAGAAGTTTTTAATAAGATTCATTAGGTTGCTGGGAATAATATTCAATAGAAACATTAAGCAAGTAGCAGAGAGTATTTGCAAAGCAAGAAACAGTTCATAGTAAATAAGCATGATGGGAGTTGTCCTCCATATAATTAATAACTTGAAGCAGAGAAGATTTGAGCAAGCAGGAATTGGTTCATTAATAAATTATATTGCAGACAATAGTTGAACGATATACTTAAGGTTAAGGTGAGTTGTCCTGCAAGAGTTCAGAGTTATAGTCCACTTGTAAATTAGCAAAGTATCCGTTCTCCAGTAATCCTCTATGGCTTGCGGCAATCCTTGCATTGGCTCAAAGGCTGGGACGGCTTGTCAGAGCTTGTGGAGCCGGCGTGAATACCCGGAAGTAGGTCCCACAATCACCAAGCCTTCTCCCTGGCGCGGTTTCCCTAAGTACAGTCAGAGCCGCGTCAGAAGGGCGCGGGGCCGGCTCCGCAATGCGGAAGTGCCGAACCGAGAAGAGATACCGCATGGCACTGAAGCAGCATTATTAGCAAGCCGGGAACATGAGTTTTGGGTGTCTAATGTAAGTCTGTGCCTCTTGGTCGCATGATGACCACATGCACAGAATACTGGTGATAGACATCCTGTGGTGGCACTCCCCATGTTTTTCCATCAGTACCTAGTTGGGAGAATGACATCAGTGAAGGAGGACCAGGTTGCAGGGAAAATTTGGCAATGATGGAATGTAGGCAAGTTTTAGCTTTACTTTTATCGGGTGGGGTAGACCAGAATAGCAGGGGCTACTTTCAATAAAAATATGTGTTTTATGAAAGCACTATTTTTTGGTTTGAGTATCCCTTTAAAGTTAAATTTGAAGCTTTTCCTCTATTTGTAAATTTTGAAAGATAATTAGAGCTTATTGAACAACCCCAATTAGTGAGGCTTAGTCGAAAGCACATATTTCATGCTAGCTTTCAACTATCTTCGACTTGTGCAGGAATAATAATTACAATAATTTATAATATGTTCATTTTATTATTATGATCATTGATTCATCTATAAAATTAAATGCATTATACCCTAAAAAATGAATTATTAACTTGTTTACTGCTCCAGTCAAGTGGCATAGACCAGTCCAATTTAATTAAATGTATTGCATCCTGATTGATTTTATCATTTGACACATCATTAGGTTTTTTGCTGTTGTGGCCAAAGATTTAGATCAAAGTGTTCCTTAATGAAACATACATTCACTTCACTTGTGTTGCTTTTAATAACAGGTGATTTATACTAATTTACTTTTTACTCGGCTGATTTTGTACGCACACATTCTACAGAAGTGGACCGGGAGGGGGAGGGGTGTTAAACCAGGGCACCCTTGCAATATAACCACTACAGCAAGCTACAGTGGTTATGGTGCTTGGATTGTTCCTTTAATGCATTGATCGTTTTTCAAAGGATTGTGAAAACTAATAATCAATCTGATAATGGTAGAAGTCTTGTTGAAAAAAAATGGGAAACATTTGAGATGCAAAATTAAATTATAAAATCGGCTGAGATATGCTGAGTGTTGGGATAACCTGCCCCAGAGATTTCAACAAATCTCTGCTGTTCAGATTGGACAGGGTTGATCCTGTAACCATGAATATTTCTCATTATTATGCAGACTCTAGGTGTTAGAGTCAATTTCAAGAGTCACTGATCACAAACAGTTTGACAAACCTATGGGATAGCACCCATCGCCTCTTGGAAGCAAAATCACTACACACACCTGTAGAGATTGTAGCACTTTCTAAAGCTGTATTCCTGGCACTATCATTTCCTCTGCCTCTCACCTCCCTCTCTCTCCCCTCCCCACACTTTAAGGAAAGGGTTAAAAACCCTTTATTTACTTATCCCAGCACCATGTCTTTCGGCACTGGGTCGACGCTCCAACACATCCGACATCCCCTGACGAGGAAGTGCTAAGGCGCATGCGCACCATGTCACAAGCGCGCATTAGACCTCCACATTGAAAAGCATTGAATCAATGCTTTTCTATGGGAAAAAACTAACGCTAGAGGTCCTCATGGAGAACGTAAGGACGTCCAGTGTCAGATACCGTACCAAAGGTCTGTTACAATGCGGGAAGAGCCTCCAGTGGCTGTCTGGCAGACAGCCACGGGAGGCAGAC